CATCTTCCTTTCTCCCCAAATGGCTAGATCGCAGGAGCCAAGGAGCTGTCTGTCTCTTGAAGAAGGGCTGTTCACACGAGTTTTGGATGCTGGAGGCCCAGTTATCAGTGGGACATCTTCCTTTCTCCCCAAATGGCTAGATCGCAGGAGCCATGGAACTGTCTCAAGAAATCTTTTTATGTCTTAAGAGAAGATTCCTACAACAATTTTTTGTTTGTTTTTGGAAATGATGATGACATTTACGTCCTTAAAGATGTTCCTACATTTTATTTTTAATGACTAAAGAGAAAGGCTTTTTTTGTTGTTGTTGTTGGAGAGGTTTTTCACTATAGGGCACGTGCGCTAGCCAGACAGACAGAGAGAGACATAGAGACAGAAAGCGAGAAATCACCCCCCGGGGGGGGGGATGGTCACGCCGCAATCCCTTCTCCTCCATTCTCCTCTCGGGATCTTGGGCACGTACGCACACGCGCCCGGCATGAGTTTTAAGCCACTGGGTCCGGGACGCGAACCGCGGTCGACTACGTGGGAGTCCAGCGACATAGCCATTACGCTAACTGCTGGTTCCCAAGAGAAAGGCTTATTACAGGTAACCATTACATTGACTGATAGCTTCCTTAGGTATGACAGCTGCAGTTAATTTTTTGAATATAAAAAGAGTCAACATTAATGATCTAAAGTTTCATAATTCTGACATGCTAAGAACTCAGTTCACAAGATATCCTAAAATTGAAGAATGATTATTTAAAATGTTTAGGTCAGAATACAGAATATCCTGTTGACGGTATGTTGATAGTGCTTACCCTTGTGGTGACAGGGATAATGTTTGTGGTCTTAGGTAGGCTGACTCAAAATTCACAAGCACGGTAGAAATTTTCTCCTTTCCTTAATCTTTACTTAAGAGAAGATGGGGTTGGTCGTCTGTGTGCTTTAGACCAGGGGAAGTTACTCTGGGAGTCCGTATGGGATCAGGGGCGCTAGCCTTACCTGAGCGAGCAAGCAAGCAGCCTTTGTGGCCTCGGGCGTGGGCTGCCTCCTTGTGGGCACTCTGTCTGCCCTTGGTGGCTGCTGTGTCCCTACAGGTCACGACTGCGGGTGGAGGAGGTCGGTGCAGATGGGTTTGTCAGCTGCCGATGTACTAGGGCAGGTTTTCATTTCAACACTTCTAGAGGCCGAATAAGAAGAAAATAAAAATTTAGTATTTCTCTGGAACTTTGTTAAACTGCCACTTATAGATGAATAACATCTTATGTTACTTTTCATAAATGTCATATTTAAAACTTTTTTTTAATTGGATTTTTTTTCAAAGTAGGGCAATTTTTATTTTCAGTTGCTATATTCTTTGAATTGAGGGAATTATTTTAATTTTATATGATTTAAAGAAAAGACTTTTTTTAAATTCATAATTATAATGCACAAGATAGAGACGAACACATTCCTTCCACAGGATCTGATCACACTGTGATCTCCTCCCTCCAGCCCTCCAGCCCACAGGGTCTTGGGTGTTCACATATGTACTTAGTTTGCTTCAAGCTGACCAGATGGGGATTTGAACTGTGGTTACCACGTGAGAGCTAACTTTTCTCGAGCAACACAATTCCATTGTGCCAGCCCCAGAAATAGATTTTTTTTTTTTGAGAGCTCTTTGCAATAGGGTGCGTGCGCTTGCCAGAAAGACAGAGAGAGACAGAGAGAAATCACCCCCTGGGGGATGGCCATGCTGCAATCCCTTCTCCTCCATTCTCCTCTCGGGATCTTGGGCACGCACGCACACGCACCCAGCCTGAGTTTAAGCCACAGGGTCCGGGACTCAAACCATGGTCAACTACATGGGAGTCCAGTGACATAGCCATTATGCCAACTGCTGGTCCCCAGAAATAAATTTTTGAAGTGCCTTTTCCTGCATAAATTGTACCCTGACCTCTGCAGGTCTGTCTTGGTTTCCGAGAAACAGTGGTGAAGTGGTCGGAGTCCTTGCCTTCCAGGAGCGTTTCCATCCCAGTAGACGGTAGTAGGCAGCATTGACTTCCGGGATCAGATGAGGGCATTTCAGATTATGATGGACATACTGAAGGACCCAAATAGGTAAAGGCATTGGGGGAAGATTGGAGTTGGCGGTGGGCAGACGGGGAGAGTAGCTTTATTTAGGGAAGGTAACAAAGGAGGGTCTCTATAGCACATGACACAGGGGCCGCTCAGGAAATGGGCTCAGAAATGCGGGAACGTCGGGCCAACGTTTGGACACTGGAATGGCTGGAATGAGGCTGAGGTGGCCGGCGCATCGTGACTGGGCGAGTGGCCTGCACTGGCTTGGATGTGCTGCCGGCTCCCGTCCTGAGGGACTCAGAGGTGAAGAGTTTGCTTTCCTTCTAGGTATAGGACGAAGCCATCAGCTCACTGGCGTGGTCAGGGTCTGGCGTGCATGGAGCAGGTTGGAAAGGGGCAAGAGAAGTCACCAAGGATCTATCGCTGTGTCCAGGCACGAGCTCGAAGGCTGTCTGGACTGGAGCGGGCGCTCCGGGGCTCGGAGAGGCAGGGTTCCTGCGGGCACCCAGCAGCCCTGCGGCAGGGACATGCGGGTTCTCTGCCCTCGCTTCAGCCCTCGCTTCAGCCCTGTGGTTTCTGACAGTCGTGGCGTCTTCGAATGTCACTGCGTTCCGGCACACGGGCGCGTGCATTTACAGCACCGACTTCGTAGCAGTCAGATGTGCGTCTTACTAAATCTGGCAAGTGTTTGATTTGCTTTAAGTGTGACATTTTGTCCTTACAGGAAATGTTTTCCTATTTGTCCAGCCAACTGAAGACGTTGTCAGAGGCCTACAATGAACGACTGTTGCATACACCTCATAACCCTATATCTTTAGGTGAGTATTTTCCTTTTAAAAAAACAAAATAAAGCTTCTGATTCAACCTTAGGAGGAAGCTGGTATTTCGAGAGAGAGAGAACTCTGGTTGTAATGACATATCCAGATGGTTCCATCTCAGTTCTGCTGTGTCCTGGCCTCTGTCCTGCCCCCCGCTCTGTGTGAAATAGAACGATCCCTCACGTGCAGAACGCTAGCACGCTGGTTGAGATCCAGTCTGCAGATGTCTGGCTCGGGAGTCCTCGGAGTGGGGGCTAGCAGCGGGTGCGTGTGGCACGGTTTGCTCTCAGAACCTCAGAACGGTCGCTTCCATGCCCACGTCCTTCTGTCGGTCTCTCTTAGTCGTTCCTATGTGCTGAAATAGCCCCACCTTCTCATTTTGCAGGCTTAAGACCTGGTTGACGGTGAATGAACAGCCGTCCTGTCTTTGTTCTTTCTGTGTAGTTGGTAAACTCCCCTCTCTGAAGAGTGATACGGAAATTCTGTGTCTGATTCTGAGCACGTTAATTTACATTAAGATATTTTTGTTGAATAGGCAGACAAATCCGTGCTGTAATTTATATTAAGGTGCATTTAAGTGAAATTACACTGCTTGACAAGGAAAGAAGAAATAATGTCTTCATAGTTGTTTGTTGTTTGAGAGATTTTTGTGCTGGTACATAATGCTCACCAAGTGCTTTTTTCTTTTATAGCGGTGACACTGAAGACGTTAGGTGAACACCAGGACAAAGCTGTCACTCAGCTCGGCTCGATGCTTTTCACCAGACAGGTTTCTGGAGCCAGGTAAGTGTGTTTAGAAGAGGCTCGCAAAGTTAACTCAGTAAAGGACCTTTCGTCAGCTGTAGTCCCCGGGATCTGCTACACTGTGCCTGGGAGTTCATCGTGGAGTGAAAGAGCCACCGGTGAGGTGGAGAATTACTGTCTCGCCGTGGGCTGCTGCTCTTGAAGTAGTCCCAGAAAGGTAGGAGTCTTCATTGTAAGAGACATACAGAGCAAAGCCTTATCCCCGCCCTGTATGGACTTTTGTACTTATTTGCTTTGTTAGATGATCTTCTGTGATACCACGTAGTAGACAGAGGTCATCTTCGTTACTGAGTTCCGGTGGAAACGTGAGGGGAAAGCCTGCTTCCTAAACTGAACCGGCTGTACGGCTCTTGCATAAGTAACACCTTAGAAAAGTTTGCTTTTTCCTTCTGTATGTACTCGGCATGAAAATGAATCCCATTTTTCATTTCATATTTGATGCGGTCATAGAAGAATGACTCCAAAAGAAATATCTTACTCTTAAGTACTTTAAAAATATATTTATTTTATTCATTCATTCATTTCGTTTAAATTGACCAGAGACAGAGAGACAGAGAGGGAAAGAATGCAAGCCAGCAGGGCCAGGACTTGAACCACGGTCGGCCATGTGGGAGTGTCCAGCACCTTAGCCACTGCGCCACCTGCTGGCCCCCCTAAATACTTTTCGGAATGTGCTTCCACTAAAGATTCTCTCTCTGACTACCAGAGGGGAGAGATTCCACATCCCACAGGAACAGCTCTGACTAGCAGAGGGCCGACCGTTATGCCGTCTGCTGGCTCCTTCTTTGATTTCTTAACAGAACTAAACAAAGTAAAAGTTGGAAATCTGCTAATATCTAAGTGTGCTGGTAAAATTAAGGATAAAAAAATACAATATGCCATTGCTGAATATTGCTACCTGCTGACCCCATCCCACTTGAAACAGTGACATAATTTTTTCTAGGTCTTTGCTTTGAAACCCATTACATAACGCTGATCAGATAGTTGGAATTTTCGGTGGCTGATTGTTTGAGGTGACACATAGCAATTAAAGTTTGACTTCGAAATTTCAATATTTCACTGAAGTGCGTATACTTAAAGTTAGGCTCCAGATTTGGCACAAAAAGAAATCATTTTCTTTTTACCCTTTCAAAGATGTAAAGGTGTTTGAGATTCCTATAGCCTGCAGCTCTCACAGAGAATTTAAATGAATGGTAGTCACCAGGCAGGACTTTTCTGTGTAAGGTAGAAGCATATTAATTTTATCACTTCACTTTAAGGCAGACCTGGTCTTATTCGCATAGGCCATGATTTACGGCTGTCCTGAAACATGTCGCCTAGTAGACATGCAGCCTGGTTCACCGGTCCCTGTGGCTACGAGGCACGTCGTGTTCCCGTTGTAGGCTGTTCAGTGGGCCCATCTTTTCTCTTTCAGGGTGGTCCCTCGTGGATCTGTGCAAACCGTGAGCGGTCACACTTTCCGAGGCTTCATGTCCCACACGGATAGCTACCCCTGCGCTTACCTCAACGCCGCGTCAGCCATCGGCATGACGACGCAGGACGTGGACTTGTTCGTGAGGAGACTTGACAGGTGTTTGAAGGCAGTGAGAAAAGAACAAGACGAAGAGGCTGTCGTATCTGGAGCCGACGACGATGACAAAACCGAAGACGGGGACGGTGAAGAGCAGGCTTTAAGAGTAGATGGATGCTCTTCTTGACACATGCCAGGGTCCTTCATCCCGACTCGTGAAGGATTTCTTATTGAAAATCTCAAAGAAATGAAGTTACAGCATACGCAAGCAGTTTCAGTACAAGACGTGAGACTTTCGAGTTGAGACTCTCACCCCGGGAGGGAGTGGACTGCGGTCCAGGCTGGCTGGCGGTGGTGATGGCACTGTGCGTTGGTGGGGCTGCCTCAGTCCTTACGCTCTGTAGCGGATTATGATGTGCGGCTAACGTTTTTCTACTGATTAGAATATTTGTCAGTTAAGCATTGCGATTCAGATGTTTTTTTTATTAATATAGTGAGACTAACGTTACCTCTAATTCTCTTCAAATTATAGAGGGTTTCCTTGAACCGTTCTCCAACACTCGCAGATTCCTTGGGTGTCCGATCACAGGAATGAAGAGCGCTCTCTCCGGTCCTGGTTCGGGGTCTGGCGAGGTGTGTGAGTCGCCACGTGCCTGCGAAGGGGATGTCTAGGGAAGCAGAGTCAAGTATAAACTTCAGGTTTCACTCAGCAGCGACGGCTCTTTCGACTGGGGGTGATTTCCTTGTACCGAAGGTGCATCTGGGGCCATTTCTGGTCGTTACCGCTGGTGGGAGGCTGTGGCGTCTTGCAAGTAGAGACCAGGTGTGTCGGGGAGTGTCTACTGCCCAGACAGCTCGCCACAGCCACAGCGAGGGCGGGTCCCGCCGCCCACACCGGGGGGGCC